TTTTCCTGTCAGTTCTTGTGCTGCAGCTTTCAGACGTGAGCACTCTATTTCCTGTTGCAGGGACTAAACTGCATTTTGGCTTCTCTTTGAACTTAAAATCAGTGACCCTGATGTTTGAGGGGTCTTTATTTTCGACTTGGCAAAAGCACTTTGGTTTATGGTTTGAAGTATGTTTGCTAGAGATAGCAATAAAAGCTCTGTACAGAGCAGCTGTCTCAACAGTACACAGGCTTTCCATTACCAAGACTTTTATCATGTCTGATAATTTTCTCCAGTGGTTTTGTTTTTTTTCAAAGTGTGTTTATCACTTCTCCAGCATCATTCCAGTGAGAGTGAGGGGCTGCCAGATTATCAGCTGGTCAGGTGTTCTTGAATATGTTCAGTACAAAATCATGCTCAGTGTGCGCTCTGGTGACCCGTTGTTTGGTCCATTGCACGTGGTGCTGCAGGCAGTAGACCTCTTCACTTTCCATGAAGCTTCCATCTGTGACTGGTTCAGGTTGGACCCACAAGGAGCAATTTTTGTATAAACAAATAGTGGCTTGCCCTTAATTCAGGACGATCTTCACAAGTCAGTGATAACTTTTCATAAGATTTTAAAAGGCGACTCTATTCTTTGTAAGGCACCCGCTTGCAGTAACATTTCTGCCTCTGGCTGGACTTCTAGGAGACTGCTTTTCTATCAGCAGACTTCTCAGATGACCAGAGGCAGAACTGTCAGTAGTGTGACCCATTCTCCTTGCTGCTTCTCTCTCTGGTGTTTTGAGCTGGGTTGCATTGATTCTGCACTGTTTGAGGAGCACAGTCACTTATCCCAAGGCTTCCAGTGCATCTCTGTTCTTCCATTCTTTAACTGGGCTCCTGTTGTCTGACATGTCTGCAGTTATGCTTGTTTTTAAATGAAATGTGGGGTGAAATCAAGACTGGTAGCCTGTATGTTGTTTTCAGTTTCCTCAGGAAATAAATCTAATTTAAAGAAGACAGTTTGTAAACTAATTTAGGAGCTGAAGCAATGGAACTTGGAAATTCTCATCATGCTTCTAATTTTTCTATTACCATTATGCTTTTCTAATATTCGTCTCCTTAATGCCTATCTAGTGAATTCTCAGGTGTCTTTCAGAGACTTAAGTGGAGTTCTGTCTTTTAAAGACTCAGTCCAGCTTGGCTGTTTAACTAGAACTAGAACCACAGAATCATCTCTCATTGAAATACAGAGCTGAGGCATCTGCAGCAAGAACCTTAGGTTCCCTATGCAGCTGAGAGTGCCAGAAGAGGAGTCATCAGAAAATCTTATCTGGGCGCAGTCTCAGACTGCTCTGTTCTTTACTTTGGGCTTGACTCTTGAATTTCACAGTGCTGGTTAAGACCTGCTGAATTGGCAGTCAAGGAAAGGAGATTCTTCTACTTTAGCTCAGGGCTTTTTGTTACTGATACACCAAGTGACCTTGAGGAATTTCCTTATTGTAAGGTTATTTCAGTTCATATCTTTGAAATGTAATGTGCCAGGTATTTCTGGAGCCAGCTTTTGTAGTTTGGGGAAAATTATAATGGCTCCTTTTCCCTGACAACTTTGTAGATACTGCACAAATATACTTCCAGTGTGAGCATTTAGATTAGTGTAAAGCATGTAGTATTTTCAGTTGAACATGAGCAAAGATGATGTTGTATTGTTAAAAGTCAAAATAAGCCTTTTTCCTCTTTTCCTATAATCAGTCTCCATTTTTCCATGTTGCTGTTAGGGCCATTGAATAGCTTTAGATTTCTCCCTTGGATGAATGAAGAGTACAACATTTCAGGTGGCATTTGTTGCTTGGTTCCAGTAATGAACATAGCTGAAGGTGTGAATCTGCAGTTTCCTTTGACCTCACCAGAATGGTTGCCAGAGGAGTGGGAAACAATCACCTGATTGCTGTCTTTTGATGAAGCTGTTACAGATCCATGCAGAAGCACTGCCACAGCCTCCTTGCTGCAGCATGAGTAATGTGACAACACCAGCATCAAAACAGTTCTGACAGCACCTAGCAAAGGAGGGAAGTGTGTGGGAGGGTACTGGAAATTTAAATTGTATAGTATGCATCTTAATTTTGAAACAAAACTGAGTGAGGTAGGAGAGCCTGAGAAGAGGTATCTTTGGCCTGGAATTCTGCATTTAGGAAATGTTCTCACTGTTATGAATGGTTCTAGTGGGCTGTGAACACCTTCAGTACACAATGCAGGAGAGAAATGAAACAGGCTTGCTGCTGGGCTCTTCTACCTCCAGTAAGTTACTGCCTGGCAGCATGGGCTCCTCATGCTGCCCAACACCCCAGGAACTGAGATGCTCTCAGCATTATCCACACTACTGGCTGCAGGAAGAGCTGCCTCCTCACAGGCTGTAGGTAAGGTGGGTGGCTGGTTTTCATATGCAGACTGAAGTCCTCCATATAGAGTTAGGAGCAAACCTGTCTTTACAGCCCAGCAAGTGTGCTATAGATCAAATCAAGCTACTTCAAGAAGTATTGTGACTCAATCTCACAGTCTTACTGAATTTAGGGAGGCTTGGCAGCATGTTGTACCCATGGGCCTCCAGAGACATTTCAGACATGGGGATCAGATGGTTGTGGATGAGCTGATACTCGTTCATACACTTGGACTCTCATTTCCTCAAATGCTGCTGCTTCTCTTGAATACAGTATCTCTGCAACTCTTGGGTTACTTTTCTTGCCTATCCTCGCAGCACAGGTTAACTCAAACTTCATTTCTGATAGCCACAAGCAATTAAAAAGAAATGACAGTGTCCTGAGTGCCAGGATAGGGATGCCTTTAGTAGTGTGGGTGATGGGTACTGATGGGCTGCAGGTACAGAGGAGCAATTAACTTACAGACAGTTCCATGGAAAACAGGAGTGGTGTGATGAAGGAGAGCAAGGAAACTGGTGATGTGGAGCAGCTACACCAAAGGGCTGAGCAGCCCGTGTGTTTGCCTGTGGTGGATGGCTGCCCAGGCCACTTGGCTCTGCAGCAGGAACACAGCTTTGCTTGTCCAGCCCCAGCAGAGCCAGGGTAGGATGAAGAGAGTAGTTGTGTTGGCAGCCAGAGATGGGTCTGTCCTGAGTCCTCTCTGGCTTTCCCAGTTCCAGCTGGATAGATACTTCCAAACACCATTTAACAGCTGCTGACCACAGGGACTGGCAGAAATGTAAATGCTCATATTCTGCCATTCTCTCTTTCATATGCAGAGGTAGCACAAGACATCTTGTTTGGACCCTCAGCCATTCACACTGTGGGGCTGGGGCCAACCCTGCTCTTCCTTGCTGGCTGGAGGGTGACTCCTGTGGGAGCAGATGTCTGCAGTGCAGGGAGACTCCCAACTTGGGCCCTCAGCACTGTGCAGAGCCTGGCAAGGAGAAAGGACAGAAAAAGAGAACTTGGCTCTTCTCCCTCCCCAGTCGAAGCGGGTGAGGGGCTGCCAAGGTCTTTACAGCAGGGAGAAGAAAGACAGCGTTCATGGGAGCTGCGTGACTGTGAGCTGGTGGGCTGGGAGCCAGGCACGTCAGCACCTGATGGGCCAGCACACGAGGAAGAGCTTCTTGCTCCTCAGCTTCTCCAGAGGAGCCCTTTCAAGGGGTCCCAGCCCAGTGCAGTGGGGTCTCTCCTGCCCCTCTCCCCTGCCTGTTCCAGGCTGGACTTGTTACCTGGCCCTGTGCGCTGGGAAGGTCTTTCCTCAGGAGCCTGGTTCCTTCACTGCTACCCTGGACCATGCTGTTTGAGATCCCTCCTGCCTGCCCATGTCCTCCACTCTGTCATGTGGGTACAGATTTGGGGGACCTGGATCAGTCCTTTGGCCATCACTGCAGACTCTGCAAAGAAGCAGCCTCCAGTTGTGCCCTGGCTGTGTGAAGACTGCATGGATCGTTCCCAGAGAGTTCCAGGCTAGGGCTGTGGGGGTGATCCTGGGGGCTGAACAGTCATCACCTCTCACAGCAGATTCCCCACCCCTTTTCCATGCGGGCTGGAGCCTGCCTAGAGAATCTTTCCTTCAAAAGCTACTGGACAGAAGAGCCCTTGTGCAGCCTTTTTGGAGAGGTGCCTGGTACCTGCTGAGGCAGACTTTCCACTTCCCAGTGAACAGATGCCTGGCTATGGCTGTGCCATATGGTGTTTTGAACTCACTCCTCTCCCAGCACAACCTGTCCTCCAGCCCTAAAGGCAGGTGAGATTGCTCAGAATTCTGATTCCTGGCGACAGCTCCACGCAGGCTGTGGGAGCTGCCAACAGTCTGGTGCAGGGAGAGGTGCGACAGGTCTGTGCTTGAAGCTTGTGCCTCTGGGGAAGGGCTGCCCAGGCAGTGTGGCCTTGATGCTGGGTCACCATTCCAGGAGAGTTTTGGCTGCACATGGGGCTTGCCCTGCTGGCCCAGGATCTGAGGAAAGTGCACTATGTGATGAGGGTGAGTAAACAGCACTTCAGGTTTGTGGTCAAGGATGCTTGCGACATCCTGGGGACACCTTTGAGGCTGGGATGAAATCAGACTGCCTGCCAGACAAGCGTCTGTATCAGAGCAAGAATCTCTGGCACTGGATTCATGATCTTTTCCTGTAAGCAATTCCTGTGGGAGCTGCTACATCCTTCCTGCCCTCTCCAGCAGTGTCTGCTGTTTTTCCCACTCAGTCAGGTTTATTGGGTGAGCGATTGCCTGAGACTGTGTCAGCAGCTGTGCTCACTGTCAGACCCTGTGGATTTGGGGTGTGCAGGGATGGGAAGGGAGGAGCTGGCAGCTTTGCCCTTTGGCAGGATGTTGCAGGGCACAGAGCCAGCCAGCCCTCTTCCTGGCCAAGCTGTAAATTTGGCCCCTTGCTCCTGTGCTCCTCTGGTTTTTCCTGTGGGCTGAGGGTTCATCCCACTCCTTCTGTGGCCTCTCTGCTGACTTGTACTTCAGCTCCCTGTGCCCCTATGCTTGCACACACAGTGCTGTCAGCTCAGCTGCCTGGGTGCACTTCTGACTCATTATGTGCTGCCTGGGCAGCTCCCCATTTCATCACTGTTAGGATTTTAAGGCAGTGGGCTGTGAAATTCTGTTCTCCTCTTCCCCACCCTACTCAATCCCATGCATCCAGGAGGGACAAAACCTATGGAGCTGTCTGCCCTGAGCAGGATATCCCCACAGTGATGCTGTGCCTGTCTGGGATGCTCTGTGCCATGGTTTGTCCCGTGCACCTCCCTCCTATGGAGATTTCTGCAGCACAGACAGGATCCCAAGATCCTGTGCCAGTGCAGGGCAGAGGAGCTGGTGCTTCCCCAGGCACTCTGGCAGGGACCAGCCATTTCCATCTGCATAATGGAGACTGTAGCACAACCATCATCAACCCACTCTGTGATATTTTTAGGCCAGCTCTGCTGATGAGGGAGAGATGACAAGCTCACTCCACATCCAGACCATGCAATGCCTTTCCCAGCTGCAGCCACCTGGTGCAATGGGAGAAGCGTGGGCTGTTCCTCCAGGAAAGGCAGCACTGGCTGGATGCTGTGGCTCTGAGCTTGCTGGGAGCAGCTATTGGTGCAGGATACCACCATCCTCTCTCTGAACTTGTGCAGCTTCACTGCTTTTGAGAAAGCAGCTTAGCAAATTCCCCGCTGGCTTTTGAAGTTGAGGGTATTTCCTGGATTGTGAAGGAAAAGGAGAAATCTGAAGCATGGCAGTGACATGCTTGCAGATGGTCCCTTGCTGTCACAGAACTGGGCAGCCCTTTCAGCTGAGGAGTTGGCTTTTCTGCAGGGCCTGAGGCTTAGAAAGCCTATGGGAAGAAGGTATCAAAGCTTCCCCTTTTCATCAGAGCCCTGTGTGGGGCTGCAGCTGGTGGAGTGGAAGGGGCAGTGATTTGGAGGTGACTGGGGTGAGTTGATGGAGGACAGGAGAGCTGGGGCACAAAATTGTCTCCTGTGGTCAGGCTTGTGGGAAGCTGGTCCCTCAGCACTGCTGGGGAGCCCCTGCATGAAACAGGTCCCTGATGCCCTGGACCCACACAATGACACAGTGCTGCTGAGAGCTGACAGTGCCAAGCCATGACTGCATTGTGGGTTCTGGCAGAGGGGAGAAGTGTCCTACACAGAGTCTGTGGCTGGGTTAGAGGGGGGCTGGGCTGGAGCAGGCTGCGCTACTCACCTTCACACCAGGGCTCAAATGCCAGCCCAGGTGGGTTGTAGGTGCTGGACTCTGAACACAGGACTTGTCTAGGTGACTGCACAAAGTAGTGGTGCTAATCTATGCTATCCACCAGGAACCAGTCTGTCAGAGAGGGTGTTGCTGGTACCAACACCTCACTGTGTTGGTCTTGTCCCATCCCTGCATTGGAAGGACCAGTTCAGCTGCAGGTGCAAACCTTCCTCAACTGGTTACTGAGACCTGGAATGTTCCAGCCCTGAGCAGCTGCTTCTGCCTTACCCTGTGGATCGCCAGCATCTCCCAGCATAGTGATGGCTCAGGTGGCTGCAGAAAGTTCATATTCCCTTGGCTGTGGCATAGGGAGGTTTTTCCCATGGAGCAGGGTGGAGAAGCTGTGTTGGAGAGGCAGAGCTTTGTCCTCTCTTTCTTGTGGCTGGGCGGGATGGGCTGCAGCTGAAAACGAGGACCTGCTGGCCTGGCTGGTCCCCCATATGACTGCTGGGACAGGGGCACAGTCCTCCATTGGCTGGTAGCTCTTGTACCCTCACTGTTTAGGATCCCACTTACTACACAAGGATCCAGTGTCCCCTTAGTCCTGTTCTCATTCATACCTAGCAACATAGACTTCTGTGACTTTGAGTGATGTACTTGGGGGGTTGAGGTGTTTCAGCAGCACCCTTCTGTCTGTGACCTCTGCCTGTGGCTGGCAGCTGCCTCTTCATGGCTGCTATTAGCCCACATCCTGACAGCAAACAGAGCACCCAGAGGCCTTTCCCTCTGGCTGCTCTAACTCCATTATGCAAAGCAGCTGCAAGAATGCACAGGTTGTCATAAATGCTGAATCTCCAGAACTGAGTGTGTTCATGTCCCACAGCAGAGCACACACCTTTGGCGATATCCTGCAGCACAGGGGTCGGGGCAGGGGCTAAGCCCTCAGTCCCTGCACCCTCCCACACAGCTCCTATGGCCCATGCCATGCTGGGTGGTTCCTCTCCTTTCTTCATTTTCCTAAGAGGGAGCAGATAAGCCTCAGCACCCAGGAGTGGGGAAGAAAGGCACTGGGACATAGCAGGGCTACCTCAGCTGGCAGCCACCCTGCCAACCCAGGGCCCCAGGCTAGGCAGCTGTTCTCTTGACCAATGGTGAAGCACCTCCACCAGCAGCACCAGTACTTCCTCACACCACTTTCTCAGTGACTGGCAGCATTTGAGGTGCCTGGTGCTTTCCCTTCCTCCTGCCTCACCTTGCCCTTGCTACTTCCTACCTCTTTGATCCCGTTCCTGAGCATCATGCTTGCCCTGGTCTCAGATGTGTAGGAGGTGGGATGCTTCAAGAGCATCTCTCTGGGCTCGTGGTCCTGCACTCTGGGAGATGTTGATGTCCCTTGGTGCATCATGGGGTTTTGAGAGGGGCAGTCACCTAACAGGGGTGCAGCCTGTGGCTCTGCAGACAAGAGCTGCTTACCAGAGGCAGTGTTGCTGACCATTTCCTTTGGGCATGTGGAGAAGAGACCAGAGTGACACAAATGGGGAAGTGGACACTGATTTGGGCACTTGTGCTGCTGTGTTTATGCAGTGGGTTTTGGCATCAACTCACCTGGGCATGTATGGGAGAAACAAGTATAAGTAACAAAGCTGGTTGCTGTGTTGTGTGAAGGTTGCTAGTGCTTTACTTGGGTTCAGAGGCTCCAGTTCACCAGGGAGCAATGAAGAGGAGATTCAGGTTGAACAGGATGAAAAGATGAGCCTATGGCTAATGGCCCCATCACCATAGTAGGCTAGCTGAAGGTACACAAGGGATTGCTCCAGTGCAAGTAATTAAGTAGTGAAGCTTCGGGCTGGAAATGATGCATTCCCTGGGTCAAAGGCTGGCAATGAGCACTGCTGCAGGTAGTGTAATGCCACAAAGCCAGCTCAGGCTGTTGTTCCTGTTTTTAGAAAGACATGCATGAGCTAGAAGAGCAGGTGAACAAAACTGTCCTCAGGCAGAGCCCTCCACACCTTCTCCATTGCCTTCTCTGGCATGAAAGAATCAGTCCTGGCCTCCTTTTTGCTGCTGGAGCTGTTTGGACAGGAGATCAGGAAGGGTGCTTACAGCTCAGGGCAAAACAGCAAGCACGTCCATACAGCATCTCTTTTTCATGCCTGAGCCACAGATGTCAAAAAGTTTGAGACCTTAAACTAGTTGATATCTAAACTTATTTTACAAGCTGTTTCCTGGTAATGATGGCTGCCCCTGCAGCCTTCAGTGACCATGCTCTACTTAATTTCACGCTTGAGTTTTTCCCATCTTCAGCTTCTCACATTTGGCTCCTGCACTTCCTTCTGCCCATACTGGTACTTGGTTCCCTCTGGCAGTGAAGAGACCCTCTCCTGGGGCAGTGAAGTAGCTTGTGCTTCTCACATCCTATGCAGCCTTATTGTTGCATTTCCAACCCTTAGATCCTTTTTTGTGGTGGTGGTGTTGCTGCTCCTTGGGATTTCTGTGCCTGTTCTGAAGTTTGGAGAGCTGGACCAGACATCAAATTGGCTTTGTCAGAGCTTAACTGGGCTTGCAGATCCCCTCCATGCCCCTCTGACTCATGGCCCTCAGAGCCAAGGTACTGTGCTGCAGGCTCATAGCAACAGTCATGTGTGGGGACAGTTCTTTTTCAGCTTTTTTCCCTAATTTCACCTCCCACCCCTGCTTTCAGGGAGATTCTCCACCCTGTGGTACAGCCTGTCTTTTCCATTCCCAAGAACCTTCCTTTGCAGCCCATCACTATGCTGTGGGCTGCTAGCATTTTCCCAGACCATTCAGCTCATGCTGTAGTAGCAAGCAGCCTGTTCAGTGTTTTATCAGCCCCATACGTAAGCCTTCATCTTGTCATCCAGACAACTGATACTAAGATCTATGAAATGGTACTGGACCAAGGGGTCACTGGGGATCTAGGTAGGCTTCCTGTTGTTGATGTCTCCCCATTAAGCCTTGGCTCAGTGGCAGATCTCAGAATGTAGCTGTTAATACGTGTAATTTTTAATCTACTTGAGTCTTTCAATGAAAATCCTACAGCATTATTGAAAGCAGGAGAAAGCAAAGTGTTCTCTATATATGCTCCTGCTCTCAGCAGCCAGAACTTTCCTTTTGCCCAGGGAGCAGTTTCCCTGTGTAAGAGCTTCAGGCTGCCCTTAGCTGTGCTTTCATTTACCTAGTAGCAGTCTGGGGCTCTCTGCCATTTCTCTGCCCATTGCTTTGACCCTTTAGATTATGCTGGCCTCCTACCAGCTGACCATTCATTAAAAATTAGCACATGTATTTGGAAGAGTGTGATTAAATCATCGAATTGTTGGCAAATTACTTGGGCCTAAGCATGACTGTGGCTGGTTTGGGGAGATGCAGCCTCTCCTTGTGCCACTGCTTTGCCAAATTCCCTCCTCTCTATGACAGCACATGAGATGGAATCACTCCTGCCATTCACATTTGAGAGGAGGCAGTGGCTGGATGGTGCCTGCCTGCCTCACCCGTCTCTTCCAGATGTTTTTATGGTGTGAAAGAGGATGGGGTAATGCCTGTCTGGAGAGCTCAAGATGAACCCAATGAGGTTCATGGCCATCACAGTTCCATCTATCTCTGAAATTCAAGTTTATTCAGCAATCATCTTGGAAACTCAAGGACAGCACTCCTGGCTTTGGAGAGGCAGCACAGACACAGCTGGAGCTGGGCTCATTCAGGGTTCCTGCAGCACTGGCATGAAGAAATGCACTGTGATATCCAGTGATGGCCCCTGGGCTGAGCAAGATTCCCTATTTCACTCCCAGATCTCAGGTAGGCTTCACTGGGGAGGCTGCTGAGGGGAGGTTATTTTAGCTGGTTTCTTAAGAAGGAACCTTCATCTAGCCTATTATTTTTAAGAGCTGTGTTCATTGTGTGCAGCCTAATAACTAGTCACATCACAGATTCTGCAGTGACCATTGTCACTCTGAACAGGATGGGTAAAATATTAACAAGCATTGCAAAATATTTCCCAGACAGTCAAACCAGACTGGATGCCAGCAGGCACTGCTTGGTTCTGTGCTCTCCTCTCTTTCATGGCACAGTAACCTACTGGGATCAGGATATTTGCTCCTGGACAACTCACCAGGCCTCAGCAAATCTTCCTAAGGCCTGCTGAGCTCAGCTCCCTAAGCCCCCCGCCAAATGTGGCAACCATGACATCCATGATTCTAGGACAGGGAGCGAGTGAGGGAGGCATATGGGAGTGGAGGTGTCCCTAACCACCAAATTCCATCAGTTCCTGGGTGTGCAGCTGAGATACAGGTGGTTCTAACCTGCCAGCAAGGGGTCTGGAAAAGATTCAAGACAATCCTGCCTGAATGCTTATCCTGATGCTATGGTAAAAAGGACTAATGCAGCCCTTTAAGGCAGAAAATAGGAAAAGCAGACTAAATCCCTGTGTCAAAGCATTAGGGAGGCTCATTGTGGGATTCCATATCTTGAAAAGGATTCGGGAAAAATCAGAGAGGCTCTATAGAGCAGAAACACAAAAAATGGCTTGAGGGTGGGAGGAAAAGCCTGGCAGAAAGAGAATTAAGCGACTCAGTATATTTAGCTTTTCAGAAAGACGGATGAGAGGGGGTTTGCTTGCAGCATATGTGTAGTGTCACAAAGAGAAAATGCCAGGCTCTGAAAGGCTCTTTAATCAAGCAGAAGGCAGAATAAAATGGTATGTCTGCAAGCTGAAGCCAGACACAGGGAGGTGGGATGCTCTTCTGAACGTGAGGGTGAGGGACTCCTGAAACAGACCCAGAAAAGTGGGAGTCTTCAACGCTCGTCTTCAATTCAAGCCTACCTCCTCTCTTGGAAACTATGAGTGAACCAAACATAGTGTATTGGAATTACTGCAAGGAGATGAACTGCTGAGCGAGGTGCTGGCCAGGGGCTTGCACTCACACAGCCGCCTGCCAGGCGCGACCATTGGGTCACTTCATCTGAGGAAGACTCTTGGAAATCTGGTCCAGTCAGAGTGCTTGTGGAGGTGATCAGGCAGGCTCCAGGGGTTTATCTGATCCCAAAGTGGTAAGTGTGATTCTTTGCTGTTGAAAACATCTAGAGGGTGGCAGAACTTTTGATCCAAGTTCAGATTGTTTTAACATGTTTTGTGTGGGCCTGGTGTTGGTGCTGTTTAACATTTCTGTTTTCAGAGTAGCCAGAGCACCAGAAATGTAAAGTGTTCTCCACAGTCTGATCACGTTCAGAGTCTGCATTTAAGAATAATACATAATGAATGTGTGGGATGAAACAAGTTTGGTCAGAGAGATAAGACAAACTACAAGTGTCTTACAGCCCAGATTGCATTCTTTGAGCCTGTGCATCAGCAGAGGTAATCTCTGTCTAGCCATTATTGAAAGAGATCTTTGCTGTAGTATATAGTGGTATTTAATTAATCATAAAATATTGCATTAATTAGTATTGGGTCTGATTTGATGACATTTAATTTGGGGAGAAGGATTACAGTGTGAGTATTAGAATGGTAATTTTTATAGGGTAAAAAAACAAAACAAGATTAGAAGTCCCTATGAAGGAAGCCTGGAGGCTGATGTGTATATTTGGCATCTGATGCAGATAGTTACAGCCTAACTTCATTTACTGGTGGGAAAAGAACCTGTAGCTGTTATTTATGAGTCCTCCCATACATAGTGCATGGTTCAACCACCATGAAAGAAAATGCAGGCAGGTGTTAGTTCAGTGGGAATGCCTTGTGGTGCTCAGCATTTCCTCATGCATGAGGAGAATTTGCAGAGCAATTTTGACATGCCACAGGCAGGCTCCTTTCAAAAAAAGGGCAGAAATAAGCTTTTCTTATGGTTACGCTGGTGTGTCCAAGTCATGCTTAGTCCAACGTAAGTGTCTCTGCAGCATTGATACAGGGACACGGGGGTAGAACCCTGCACTGTCTGCTCCAAGCAGTGACCAGCCCTAACTGTTTCGTGCTAATGTAGTCACCAGCTGTGCCCTCTGCCAGAGCCCTTTTTCTCCAACTCATGGCCAGTGCTGCTGCAGGAAATTCCCTGCAGACACATGGGTAAACACAGGCTCAGCAGGTTGGCTGAGAATGGGTTTTGTTGAGAAGGATGGGCTAGACCATTTGCCTGATCATTTGGTCAGTTTGGCTTTAAAAAGCTTCAGAGCATTCTGGAAAGCAGCACAGCAATATGATAGGATTTAATCAGACTTAATTATTCCCCTGCTGTCTATCTCCTAGCAACATCCAGCTTGACATCTGCCTGCAAATGAAATGTGTAAGCTAAGTAGGAACATGTTCAGACTAAAGTCCTGCTACTTGAACCAAATCAGTCCACTAATCATTGTCTTAATTCATCTCATGGCCATCAAACAGCTGCCAGGCACTGGTACCTGATTTTCCAAGATATACAGCACTCACCTTCTGAGTTTTTTTTCCAGGCTGGCAAGAAGAATGACTTCATCCTGGGCTCTTTGCAGCACACTGACACCTGATCACGGGGTTAGAGTTTCCTGAGTGACAAACACGGGCTCAGGAGCAAGCCCCAGACTTGTCGCAATCTGGCCCCTTGCTGTAGGTCCCCGCTTATCTCATCACTGAAATCAGATCACCTGCTGTGCCCGCACACCGCGGGGTTCAAAGGCGGTACAGTCGGGGGCAGTTTAGGTGAAGCTTGGGGACAGCTGGAGCAGATGTGGCGCAGTGGCAGCAGGCAGTGCAACAGCTCCGTGTCACAGGGACAAGGGCAGCTGAGGTAGGGAGATGAGACCCAGCTTACACAGATGGAGAGATGAAGAGGGCAAGAGAGGAGCAGACATAAAGCGAGCGTTTGTAAAGTAAAACTGGGCTTCAGCCAGACGTGATGTGGTGCAGGAGTCAGTGGGGTTGCTGGAAGAAATGAGTCCGGCAGCAGAGCCAGGGCCATAGGAGGAGGCTGCCCACACCAGCCCTGGCTGCCAGCTTGCCGTGAAGCTGGAGGGGAAGGGAGCTGTCTCAGATGAATGAGAGCAACGAGCATCCTGAGCAGGTCAGCCTTGCAAGCTGGGGGTTGGTGGGGCAGCACCTTGGGGGCAGATCTACAGATGGATAGGGCTGCATGGACATGGTTGTGTCCCCTCTTCACATACCTCCTTGGGTACCAAATACCACCTCAGATGGGGATATTGGTGCCAATGATACCTAGGTGCTTGTGTGAGTCTGTTGGTCTCTTGTGCTGTCTGTAGAAGTTGTTGTTGGCATCCAAAAAACCTAATGGCATATCAGTGTGACATGTCTCCCTTGTGTCTCTGCAGAGGAGCGTGGTAGCTCTGGAAGCCTGGCTGCATAGGTGCCACACTAGCAACCAACTTGCACTGACTTCATTTGTGCAGAGCACAAAGTGGGGCTTCTGTCTGTGAAAATGAGGCTGTATGGGCCCCCACCAGCTCTCCCTGTGACCAGCAGGAACTCTGCCTTTTGTCAAAGGCAGTGTTCAGCCAGCTCTGTGCTGTTCAAGGCAGTGTCTGCCATTCAACATTGGCACCTGGGCTCACCTCAGTGGGAGCTGCCACCATGCTGGATATTATCTTACTAGGATTCCCTTAAAATCACCTTTTATTTACTTTCTGTTATCAGTGACAAATGGAGGGTCATTAGGCTGGTCACTGAAGATGCAGGCTTATTCCTTACGGTTTTTTTCCTTTCAAATAACTTTCTCCCCCCATGACTAATCATTTCTCTTTATTGTTCTGTTTATCTGTCCCTGAGAGGCGTTATATTAGAGCTTGTCACTTGCCCTCTGCCTAAGGAGCACTAAAAGGCTGTGGGGCCAGCAAGAACGAGGGCAATGCAGCAGGAAGAGTGCGGTGCAGGCTGGCCCCAGTGCTGCTGTGCAGTGGGGAGGTGGAGACTGTAACATGCCTGGAAGTGCGTGGAAGCTTCACTGCCTGCGTGCCGCGAGCCGTGCTGTGCGGTGGAAGGGCAGCTGGGAGGTCGTGCAGCCTGCTGTGCTCCAGTGGCGGAGGCTGTGCCACACCGGGGAGGTGGCGCAGAGCCGTGCAGGGGCTGGGCAGGACCTTGTCGGGTTTGCAGTGCTGGGAGGGTTTGCAGAAGCCGGAGGATGGTGTGAAGGCAGTGGAAGGAACAGATGCTGTGCTGGGGCAGCGATGGAAGCAGCCCAGGACAGCGTTGCCGTGTCGTGGCTGTGCAGAGCGGGGAAGGGCTGGGAGGCCATCGGGCAGTGCAGCACTTGAAGGCAGACGCAGCGCACTCAACGCGGTGCCTGGAGGGCGGGTGATGCCATGTCACTGCAGGGGCCCAGCGGCCGGGCGAGAGCTGAGGTGTCTCAGCTGGCGGAAGGCGCAGTGCTGTGGGGTGACAATGCGGAGCCTCACCGCCGGTGCAGGGTTGGCAGGCCAGCCTGGAGGCACAGCAGTGCTCTGGAGGTGCCACGGTGTGACTGGGGAGCGGTGCCGGGATTTGGAGGAGGAGGAGCGATGCCCGGCAGCGGCCGTGAGGGGGAAGCAGGCCCGCTCCGTTCCGCGCGCCGCCGCCGCCACGCACAGGTTCTGAGGGGCGCGGGGGGCGCTCCGCGCACGCGCACCGCCTCCCT